TATATATATATATATATATATATAAACACATACATACTCTCACACACACATACACATACTTGTATACTTGTACTTACACTTCAATACACCAAAATGTTTCGTCCACACTTTTGAAAAAATGGATAAGTGACCATATTCTTATAAGTAACAGCAAGTCACATTCATTAATAACCGTTTTCTCTTTACAACATGTGTTTTAATTCTGTTTTATTTATTTTATATAAAGTTATTCCGCATCACTGTACACAGTGTACTGAATATGATTGCTGTGCGAATAAAGCGGTACCTGACTTGACTTGTTTTCCTTCACATGCTCAGAGTACCCTGTTATCATAACTGATAATGCACCAATATGGCGGCGCGAGGCGATTGCTCAATACTATTGCAACCCTCCTATAGGTGAAAGAAAAAGCAGTGGCACTTACAGTATATGATAACAGCACCAGTACAAGTAAAATTCAAAAAATAAAAATCTTTTCTAAGTCACAGGGAAAAGGCATAAATTAATTAGATCAATCCTGGGATTTTGTGAGTAGATATCGAATCATTAAAACCAGGATTACGATTAATAATAATTTTAATTATATTTTCCCACCACTTATTACAAACACATTTTAAAGGTGCACTGAATGTTCTATGAATGCATAACAAATGCATTATGAAGGTGCTGGTAATGTAAAGCATTACCACATGTTTACTGCACAATGGCATTAAAGTAATATGGTACAATGCCGTGTAATTATTTTACATAATCCACACAATGAATATGCAAAAAATCCTAAGTAATAGGTTTCATAATACAATTCAGATACAGTGATTAGGCAGTTAGGCAGTACTGCATAAACACAGTGTAAATTTCACATTTTTATTATTGAAGTCATTGATGTAGAACTGAGAAAAAAACATTTTCTTTGGATAAGAATAATAGAGCTAACGACATAAAAATCTAGACTGCAGTATAAAATGTGATATTAAATTCTGGTTTTACGCAATTATAATCACTTTTCCAACATACTATTTGCAATATCACTTCAAAACTTTTGAATAAAATTAATCATAATGCAAAATAAAGGCAAATGAATGTGACACAAGCTTTACGCTGAATTTCTGTAGTAATTTAAGAAAAGTAAACCGGTTTTTTTTTTTCCAAGGCATCGGACAAGCTTTTTTGCAGCACTGAGAAATCAAGAAAATGAATAACCAAGCAAACAGATGTAGGGGAATTGATGTTCCCACTGAGCTAGCAAGACCTTGACCTTGTATGCTGTCTCGAAGCAGAGGCGGAGAGGCAAACTTCATCAAAATCCGTAATTTTAATGAGTCAGTTATTAACGATTAGGTCTCTGCTGGCATACTGTGCATCTAATTACCCAGCCCAGAAAACAAACAATTAACCAGTCAGCACAAATCCTAATTGGGTTTTAAATGAGATAATATATGTCCATCATTGCAGGCAAATGATTATTAAACATTACTGCCCAGACAGTTCGTTTTGGAAGTGGAATATTCTCACTGATTAACCAAAACCAAAGTCGCCATTACTTTCCTTACACCCATCAAGGCTAATTGGAATGAAACAATTCAATATCGCTACAACGACTGGTCCCAGGAAGAAGCTAAGTCATTAGATCAGATAAATATAACCAAGCTGAATATGACTTGGGGGGTGACATAGTTGTTAGCAGTATAGTCTCAAAACTCTCGCCTGGCTCTGCATGTGGAGTCTCCCTCCTGCAATTCCAAAACCATGCTGTTTGGCTACTTGCCGAAAGCACATACAAACGGACTAGCAGGTTAGGACACTATGGTGGGGATTGGAAGGTTGCCAGGTCAAACCACATGGTTAGCACCCTAGCTTCACTATTGGGCCTTGGAGTAGGGCTACAAACTTTTGGGGAAAAAAAAATAATCACATTGCGATCTTAGAAATTTTTGTAATAAATATTGCAATATGTTATAAAACAAACAAAAAAAATGTTGAAATTGTTGCATTTGAAATTCTACCCAAAATAAACTATAGCCAAACAGAACCTATTATTTACCAAATTATCTGTCGAATAAGTTGGCAATGTTGCCACAAGTTGTGCCAACACAAAGCAGTTCTGACAAAACATTTGCTTTCACTTAATGCCGTTTCTATGGAACAGAAAATATTTCCATACCATAGAAGATTAATGTCTTTCTTGTTCGCTTTTCTCCTCCTCACTTATTTTTAGTAAATTTCTCAGAAACGTAACAGCAAGGACGGAAATTATTATGATTGGCTGGGAGAGTGCATGTAGAAGGAACGATCATTAAAATTGCAAAGCTTGCTGAGCTTGGTTCCCATGGCAGAGTAAAAATGTTTTAGCATAACTTATTAATGCTCTCAACCCAGCTGACTAAGGCAGTCTTTGCAATGTGACAATTGCATAACATGCAATGTCAGTATTAACATCACGCATCATACAGGCCTGCACTGGAGCAAGGTCCCTAACCCCTAATTGTTCCAGTGACTGGCAGACCCTGTTTTCTCCAAATGTGTGTTACTTTGGATGCAATCAGAAGCTAAATAAATAAAATGGACAATTTTCAACAGTTCAGTAAAACAATTCAAACTCCAACAGGAGCTTACTTTAGTCCCTCCAGTTTGGTACCTGTTTATATTTGTATAATATATAGAAAATATACAGATGTATCCATCAGAAAGAGATGTGTAAAATGGGTAAAAGTTGTTTTGAATAAAAACATCAATTTCATCCAAGTTACACAAAATATTAAATGTTACAAGCACTGAAAGTGTTCTGTTTGGCTAAGATTTGCCTAAAAAGCAGGTTCCATTTCTTAATTGCATTCATGTCACATGTACAGTATGACATATCTTTTAGAATACCCATCACGATCCACAGTGCTCATTAACTGAATTGGTATTAAGCAGTCACACAAGAGAAAGATGCCAATGAAATTGCCCAATGTGTCCAATGCTTTAAATAAATAAAGAAGTGTTTCAGTCTTGTTCTTCAGTAACCCAATTTCCAAAAAACTACATCGAACATATATTTTCTTAGACTCTCTGCACTACAGTATATCCTACTTAGCTTTCCCAGCTGTATTTATTTAGAAGCGGATTAACAAATCACTAAGAATGTTATTGTTCCCATGCTTTATATTGAAATATGTTCTTCTGTATTGTGACAGTGCAGCCATGCGATTAATCATGTCTTGTTGTTAGAAAATGCCAGTCCTCTCTGTAGCAATGTGCTTGTGCAGGGTCTGACAGACCTGGAACGTAATATCCATTGTCAGACACTGTGACCTTATCCAAGGTATGGCTCAATTGGATACCACTATACAGACTCACAAATCCCAGAGTTATGGGTTATTTCAGTGTAAATGCCAAAATAGAACATATTGCACCCCATTATTACATTGTGCATGAGGCAAAAAGGCCAATCAACCATGTTTTAAAGGAATTTACTTTTTAAAGGCTCATCTTCTCTTCAGCAACCTCAGGATTTTCATACTGAACAACGTCCAGGCATTTTGTATCGGAGAAAGCCAATGCACAGATCGGATATGGAACCCATAAATTCTTTGCATGGCAGTAATTAAAATGCAAATTCAACTGAGGGGCCTATACGTTATGCTTTGGTTATAAAAAAGGTGGTGAAAATTGGTTGAGGGAAACATGTTTTACATACAGTTTTTATGTCCAGCAAACCCAGAATGAATATCTTTTTTATTTGAGTAGTAAATACTTCTACTTTCGTACCAGCACAAGTCACTTTTTTATGATTGTTTACATGTATTTCTATTGATAGCTGAATTACTGTCTGTTCCATATTATTATTCTTAGACCATTATATAAAATCTGATCATTACTAATTACTACTAGCATACTTAATCTGGCATTCTAATACAAGTTTGATTTCACTGATAAAAGGGAAATATCTATAAACACCATCATTTCATTTTAGTTATTGTGTGAACTTTCCATAAGCTTGAATTCTCGGGCGTTGGTTACACTATCCTCCAGCCTGTTCCTTCATACAAACCTACTTGTGCTCAAACTAACATATGGCAAGCTTAACACTTCCAGAAAAAAAAAATGCATATTGGAGAAAACAATTCGGATGTAAATACCAGGGCACTGACATCCTCTTCACCTTGACACACTGCCTTTTGACCCTTCAGACATAGTACTCAAACAGAACCAGCTTAAAAACCTGACACTTAACAGTAGACAAAGGGCAAGAACTATCTTCTCTTCCTGACCTATCCAGACAAAGTACCAATATCTTCCTGTCCACCCCTCCCCAGGGAGTCTATACTTGAAGCCAGACACACAGTTATATACAGAACACATCATGAAAAAAGTGTCAGGAATGCTAAAAAATATTCTCAAAAGCTGTGTGTGGGAAACAGAAACGATTCAGACACCCCAGCCCCAGAATAATGCATCTTGTGAATAAGGTCACATTTCTCTATATGGAGAACAATACATGTTAATCATCGCAAAACAAAAGTCATATAAGTAAATTTAATAACACACAGTTTTGGTTGTTTTCGAATTTGAAACAAATTTGGAAAAAAAAAATCAGACAATGGTGAGCAAAGAATGAACAGGGTGCCTGCAAAAATCATGATGTGAAATTTAAGATTTTTTTATGTCCTCTTCAATACCACATCAAGCCAAATTTAAGACCAAACAGAAAGAAGAAATATGCTTTACCAGAATCAATACCCATACATTTACAATGTACAGTACCCACTTTTCATTCAGGTTTGTATTAAAAAAGGTCCAACAATTGATGTGTGAATAATAAATCAAACTGTAGAAAGTGACAATCAACATATGGGTGACTCTATGAGAAATTCTCCTACCAAGAAACTTCAATCAAAACAGAGGAATAACAGACTTAGAATAAGACATTCAACATCCCATTCTCCAACATTATAAGCATATAAAGGCTTGTGGGAGTATTACTTACACAAAAATCTTCTGAGAGCAGAACAAAAAAAAAATGCTTCAGAGACATAACCAATCAGATTGTAGAGGTAGAAGAGGTGGGTCCAAGCAATTAGAGGAGGTGGGACCAAGACTTCTGAATGTTAACTTTAGCCCTCGCCATCTGAATCTGCCAATAACGGTTATTTCATTCCTATGCGGAGCATTTGTAGTCGCATGTGAAAGTGGAGGAGGAATGTTACCTTATACTTATTAAAGCTCCTTCTTGTTAGAACATATCTTATGTTGCTATGACTTGGTGTAACGTTGTGTTGATTAAGGCTATTTCTAGTAGTGGTTTAGCTAACTAGATAGTTAGCTGGCTAGCTAACATTAGTGTTAGCTAGGAAGCTCACTAGAACAGTACAGTGGAACCTCCAAATCTACTGATTTGGTAACGGCCATCTCAGTGTAATATTTAAATTAAAAATGATCATAGATAAGTACATGAAAAACAATTATTGATAGTGTTCGCTACCATCGACGGTTTCGGATTTCTGCGGTAGGTCTTGGAACATATGGGCGCACTACAGTATTTAACATTTGACAGTTTGCTAACATGGATATCAGCGCAGGGTTGTACTTCGGTCAAGTGGCTGGAGTGAGATTTTGAATTCGAGAGCAGCCTTATCCTGTGACTTAACGAACATGCACACACATTTACATGTATGTAACAGTTATATTACCTAAATAAATAACAATAATAATAAATAATAGCTTGCAAACTACCCCAAAGCTCTTGATGTAGCTAATTTTAGGTTTGTCATAGAAGACTTCTTGCCTGAGAACCTGACAGCGTGATAGTCATGCCAGATGAGAGTTGGCAACCCTGTCAGCGCTCAGTATAAAGTTACCTGGTTACAGTAGATAGATTACGTGCATAATTCACTTAAATTAGTCATACACAACAATTTTTGGTTCCCAAATCAAAGTCTGGTACCAGCAATTCAGTTACAGCAGCTCTGAGCTTGAATAACCAAGCTTCAACCAAGTGGGCAGTTACTGTGGGCTGTTCAGGCAGTGATGTTATACCTTCAATGCCCACTTCACGCCAACGCAGTGCTGGTCGCTTCCACCTTTGTTTGCAAAGTCAGTTTGTTTTTGGTTTGGTAGTTATCTTTTAATGCTTTTTCTCTTTAAGAAGCTTCCTTCCGCTATATTGCTGTTCCAGTTCAAGAGAATTAGTTCCAAATTCACCTTTAATATGCCAGTAGATAAGCTTATGTATAAATTTATGTTTGGTTAGCAGACACTTCTATCCAAAGCACCTTAGAGTAATCACATAATAATAATAATAATAATAATAATAATAATAATAATTCTTATCAAAACTAAGAGAATACTATGAAGCAAATACACTAAAACATCTTTTAATTATAAAAGCACTACACACAGGACTGTACTGAAGAGAAAAAGCTAATTGGTGTATGTGTGAGAGTAAACAGTACTGAAAAAAAAACTTAAATAGAAAGTTCTTAAACCAGTTTAGATAGAAAAAAGATCATGATTAAATAGTGCGTGCGTTTGTCATTACAACCCATCATATTTAACTCAAAATTTTAATATAGTAGGCTTTATGGCAGTTCATCAGTAAGTACAAGTTGTCTGTAAGCTGGCCATTCATGACCCAGACTTAATGTACTGAAAATTTGGTGCTAACTTAAGTAATCTGGCAAAACCGGCTTCATAGTATACCCCCCTAAGAGTCAGTCACATTTAAACCTAAATGAAATATGAAACATCAGACTAAAACATGTTTATGACTTAAAAAAAATTAAGACCTAAATTCAATATATTATAAGACTTTTTAATACCCCGCGGACACCATGAATGAATCAACCTCAAGTCTACTAACAATCCTCTGTAAGATGGAGAATTTAGGCCATTTTATATTCCAAACAGAAAATTAACCAGCTGGACTTGCCTTAAGCTCCTCTAGGTCTGGTCGTTCCATACTGACCACAGAAGCCAGCAATTGGTCTTCCAGGCCATCGCGGGTCACAGTGAAGTTGATTAGAGTGCACTGAGCTTGCATTTCCGGCTGGTAATGTGGGTTTGCCAGCTTGGTGTGAAGGATAAGACGGAAATTGGGACTGTACTCACATTCTTTATCTCCAATCTTTATAGACCTAATTAAGGAAAAACGCATGAATTACAATTCCATTCTTTTCTGCTTAGGTTCAGATATTAGCTTTCAGATATAAAGAATTAATTCTGAAATGAAACATACAATAAAAAGAATGAGTGCTGACCTGCCCTTCTTTATTGTCTCCCGACCAAGCAAAGGCCCCAAGACAGGGTCCACAGTCTCTTCCAAATTTTCAATCAGAACCACTTCACCAGCAGACAATGCTCTCTCTACAGAATCTAGGTAACTAAGAAGTTTGAAATAAAAACAATGATTACAACAAATAAGTATTCACATTTACAGTTATCACATTGAAAAAAAATGCCTTTAGAGTTATTTACCCTCTCTGGCCAATACGAATTACCCTGAGGTTTTCACCATATTTATTTTTGATCCATTTAATTCCCTGCAACTGGGGGTCCACCATTAGAGGCCAGCGCTCACAATTAGTGAGGATTGTGGCATTTTCAGTTGACATCCTGTCAGCAGGGAGACCTTCATTCTGCCAAGCGGCAATGTCTGCATCATCTGTCAGCATTGTTAATGCATCCAAGTCTGGAGTCACGGGAACTGGCACCTTGACAGAGATATCGAGAAGTGTGGTCATGTAAGTTTGCATGTATGTCAGTTTCATACATTATATATATTACATTACAATAACAAATAATATTGTTATATCCCTGTCTAGCATCAGGCATAACAAAAAAGTCGACCAAGACAACAACTTCATTTGTCTCTTTAATTTATAAATGGAGAACCTTCAGGAGCCGACAAGGCTAAAATAACATGCAGAAACTCCACTAACTAGAGAGATTAGCTTCTTAACGTAATCAAATGAAAACTGATTTAAAAATACGCAAACTTTCCCCAAATCCCTATCTATTCAGAAAGAAAAGAACTCAAAACAAATGGTGTCACACTCTTTACTTCCTAACTGCTCACAATATATAAAATATTGAGAAATACAGGCCAGAAATTAATGGGGGTAAAAGGCAAAAATGGCCCAAGAAACCTCAGAATGCCCCTAAAAATCGTGGTGGAGGGCCAAAAATGCCCCCAAGCTTAAAAATAAACAAATATACTGTATATATAAATATATATATATGTGTGTGTGTGTGTATTTACCAGTGTAAATTCAATATCTTGATCCTACATTAAGCCATCATTTTTTTATGTTTCATTTCCATATCAGTGTCAAACACACACTCATACAAACAGCGTATGTACATACATAATTTTATGTGATGTGTAACTGTAACTAGATACTACTATTTAACACTCTTATTATACCTGGTAGAGGCCAATTTTATTTTTTAATAAAGCTATTCATCCAAAAACAAATAAGCTGATCTCTGCTAAGTGCATAGTACTCTCCAAGGGGTGTGGCTCTCTGCTAGGGGTGTGGCTCTCTGCTAGGGGTGTGGCTCTCTGCTAGGGGCGTGGCTCTCTGCTAGGGGTGTGGCTCTCTGCTAGGGGCGTGGCACTTTCCTAGGGGCGTGGCTCTCTGCTAGGGGTGTGGCTCTCTGCTAGGGGCATCAGGATTGTCAGCTTACCCATGGCTTCACCACCCACCCATTAACATCTTGTATAGCTGCCCAGGGCAGTATATTGAATTTTCATGGTATATTGATATATTTTCAAAACAAGATAAGGGATGACACAATACCGCTTACATCAATATACCTTTTATTGTGTGTTAAAACCAGTAGTACCGTGATGTTGCAGAGACTCCCAGAATTCACACCTAAAATCAAACCATTCAGTAAGAGTCTCATGAGGTAGCTGATTGAGGCAAATAATTGGTACTTGTTTCATTTCATTTTAAAACATTGCCAAACGGCTCACAGGTTAACATATTATAATATTAAATATTTGTTTTATCTTGTTAAAGTGTCTGGTTTGCATTTACAGTTGTAAAACAATACCTTTTTATTTTCCTAGATACTTTTAATAGACCAACGGTTTCTAACGAGGATGTCAAAGAGGATGTCAAAGTAGTTCACTATCAATAAACTAATGAATTATACATATAGACCAAGGCCATTAAGAGCGACAATCACAAAGAATTTGCAGAAATTCGATGTCCCTCACTTCACTGTTTGACATACATTTTTTAGGAAACAGTAAACTGGGAATCAGCCAATCAGAAAAGACAGCTGTGCTGACATAAGGATGGGTGGGATTGGGAACACAAAGTCACACCCACAGACACACCTACCCAGCAAGGTCTGTTAACAATCATGACTGGGATCACAACACCTCTACCATCAAGAGGAAAGCTTTGCATAACCAATTTCTAACAATGAGACAGTGGATCTGCCTTTTTATGCATGATATTTAAATTTAAACTTTGACAGATCAAAGACCAGCACATGACCTTGTAATTAGTATTGCACACACGCTGCAGAAAGACTAGTGGGTTATGAACAGGATCCAGTGTAGACTTCAAAGCATAAAAGGCAAGAGCCTGTTTTTCTTTTGTACTATAGTTGATCTGATGGCAGTTGAATTTCTTGGAAAAGTAATACAACAGTATACACTAAGGTCAACTTCTCGACTTAACACAGCACAGGCGCATTTGCCATGCACCTCACAAATTTTGTGAATTCAGGTGCAGACAGAACTGGAACTTTGCATGACATACCAAGCTCTCTTTTTGTTTAGGGTACTTGAGGAGCACTAAAAGCCTTAATTTTGGTTTCCAAAGGGGCAAACAGTTTGCATGACCAAATTCACATTTAGCAAAGTTCAGCGTAAGAGAAGTTTCCGGGTAACATAAACCATAGTTTGGTATGGTAAGATATGGAAGTGACCCTCTTAAGTACCAAAATAAAGAACACAATCATCCAGGTAAGCTTCACAATTATCACCACTGGCTAGAACCAGATTCATTAAGTGCTGGAATGTGGCTGGTGTGTATAACGGGATACTGTAGGAAAGAATCTCGGGTGGAGCTGGAATTTTAGACAAACCTTCAAGTGAGTGGGACTTGCCAGTGGTCTTTCAACAAATCTAACTTTGTAATGAATTTTGCATTACCTATCCGATCTGCACAATCCTTCATCCTGGGTAGGGGAAAGGAGTCACACTTTTTTCAGCATTGACTCTTTTGTAGTCTGCACAGAAAGGGCAATGTGCTTGGGAACCAGTAAACACAAGGAACACAAAGGAATACAACTACAGTAGGAAAAGCAAGATCATGTTCAATAAGGTATTCAGTTTCTAGTTTCATAATGGCATGTTTGGATGGATTAACAAAATATGCATTTTGCTGCACAGGAGTATTATCACCAACATATATATTATGTTTTAGGATTGAAGTCCAGGAGGGAGTGTCAGGGAAAATAATAGATGCTTCTCTATAAGACGAACAAGATAATCTTGTTCAGCATAAGACAAAGGAGTGGGTTTTGTTGGGAGAGCTCAGAGGGTTTTCAGAGCTGGCCTGTCCTTCCACCTCAGGAGAGTACTCCGATGAGGACAGAATCACAGAGGCAGTAGCTACGGGAGAGGCAGGTGAGGCAGACTTCACATCTGGATTGGGGTATGTGCACTTTAAGCATATTTATATTACAAATATATTTCCTATCAGGAGTCTTCAACACTCTAACTGAACCTCAATCAAACAGAAACCTGAAATACATCTTAAATCTTAGCCTGTAGAGCTGTACTTGGAAACAGATGTAAAACAAGAATCTCATCTCCCATGCTCATGAGCATGGCAACACTTTACTTCAGGCCATGTTTTTAGTCATTTTTAAACACATTAGTATTGCATTGTAATGCATTCATAAAGCATTATAAACATGTCAATAAATATTTATGAAAAGGCATAACACATTATAGCCATGCTTTTTATACATTATGACTACCTTATGAAGCTCTCATCTATAATGCACTATAGACACCTGTTACGTGCCGTAAGTTTCGGGTACGTGCCATACAGTAAGTGTTTGTGCGTTTCACTAGTTGTGTATAATGGTGACTGCCTTTTTGTTTTTGCGTGTCGTGGGGATTACTGTTTATTTGGTTACGAAGTTTAGGCTTAGGCATTGTTGTTTCGTTTACACCTGTTGGGTTTCACTTAGGCTTAACTTAGAGTGGGACTGTGTTCGGTAGATTTTGTTTCTTTCTTTGGGCTTTTTCACACCTTAAGTCTGTTACACCTAGTGTCTGTGGAAAAACTATAAAAAACATAAAAAAGACTCCCTTTGTGTTCCCTTCTCCTAGCTCTGGTTGTCTTGTCCTTCCCATTCCCTCCTTCCCTTCCACGCTGTTAGGCTCCAACCCTAGACTGGAGTGTAACATACCTTTATAATGCAGTACAAAGCATCCTTAATGCTTATACCAACCATTAGAATGCATTATAAGGGTATCTATAGTGCATTTCAGATGAGAGCTTCATAAAGCATTCATAATGCATAATACACATGGCTATAATGTGTTATGGCTTTTGATACATATTTAAAGCAATATTTATAATACTTTATGAATGCATTCATATGTTATGAATGTGTTTATAAATTACTAAAAACATAGCCTTAAGTAAAGTGTTACCATGAGCACGATTTATCAAAATCGGAAATTCATATGGGGCTGAGAGAAGGTTTGAGAGCGATTTTCAAAGAGGAAGACAACTGAACTGAGGACAGAAGCTGTTCTTGTAGTGCTTTTAAAAGAACCATGGACTGAATGTCCAAATGCCAACTTAGATGGACTAAATCCAACGCACTCCTAAAGGGGGATTCCCTTACACACTGGAAACATGGTGACTGTCAAACTGCTTGCTTACTCTGATTCTGGACATGACATTTGAACTTTGATATGACTAGATTTATTCTACTAAACAGAATGTGGTACAGAACTTTATGATGGCTTTCACTGTAGCAGGAGCTCTGTAAGAGCACAGTGGGATAGTTCCAGGATATATATCTCCACACATCAAAGTCAAGAGATATGAAGGTAGTAGACCTACACAGTCAATTAAAAATCTCTCAAAAGGGTCACCCATAACTACTATTGGCTTTAGAAGAGCAGGGGGAATAACTTAATTTGGCTTCACAGGAACTTGACAGGCATGACATGAATGGCAGTAATAGGACACATCAGATTTCATGGACGGCCTAAAAAAAATGTTCTAACGGACGGTTGTGTTTTCCTTTTACATGAAGAAAGTTCACGATTATGAGTAGGGCTACTATTGTTTATATAAATAATCGAGTAATATATTGATTCATCCATCAGTTAATCGAGTAATTGTATATAATATAATATAATATAATATAATGTAATGTAATGTAATGTAATATAATATAATATAATATAATATAATATGTGCACATGGCACGAGACAGGAACCAACCAACCACTGAAAGTGCACATTCAGTCACACATAAGGACCATTTAGGCCCTCCAATTCACATAAGTTGCATGTTTTTGTAGAGTGGAAGGAAACCGCAGGATCAACCAAAAGCCTCGCACATGAACCTGCAAACTTCACACTATGGCTGCCGCGATTAGTCGACATAGTCGATGAGGTTGACGCTGACGTCAATATTTTAAATAGTTTTTTTTATTATTATAATGAAATTACCATTATGATTTCTAAAATGCTTCAGTTCATTAAAACAAATGTTTTCCTTTAAATCACTATGTAATTATGCAAGTAGTTCAAATTGTAGCAAAACAAAAAGGTGGTTTTACACTGTGCAAAGTTCAGTGGCATAACATAGTGGCACTAGCGCTATGCATGAGCACCTGAAGAGAAAACACACAGGCATTATTCTGTACTGCCAGAATAAACAAAACCACCCTAAGTGTTGTCTATTCATGTTTATTAAATTACCTTTATTACTAAGAGCTTTTTAATATCTTTTGTATTTGTAACTGCTAAATACACTCATTATTAAAGCCATAAAGTTGTCTGCCTGCTACCTTAGAACCTCCATTGAATAAGTGTTTGAGAAAATGTTTAGGCTAAAATCTGGGCTTATTCTACGTGGATTGACGGTGCCAGTGTGTTCATGCACATTAGGCTTTTTGGGAATTGGGACGAGTACTATTATCATAAACTAAACCTGAAACGAAAATGTAAATTGAAAATAAAAGAAAATAATTAGTAAAATGAAATAAAAATGAAAACTTATGTTTACAACAAAAATGAGTTGGACTTCAATCAGCAAAAAGTAGCGCAACACCACCAACATACTGTATTTGTACCATGTTTATCCGCAATACCTCCTCTTTTAAAAGATGTTGTGGTTGCTGAATCTAGGATCACAGCTACTCCAGCGCTTATCACCTCCATGATTTAACAATACATGGCCAATAGCTCCACTAACCGAGTTTAATAATAATAATTGATACTTTATTGAACCCTGTGGGGAAATTGTCTTTACATCTCTCTCAACTTGCTCTTTGTAGAGTACTGTAAGTTGTCCACAAAGGGCAGCCACCCATAGCAGTGCCCAGGGAGCTGGGGGTTAAGGGCCTTGCTCAAGGACCCGCAGACATGCTGAGGCTGAACCAGTGACCATCTGATTACAGGCACACAGGCTTAGCCCACTGAGCCACACGCTGCCCCAAGAGGATGCGCTGAATTCATACAAATGACTAACTTCCGGGCGTCACAATACGCATCTTAATATTTTAGACATACTACTAATTTGTTTATCGAACTGTGGGCGAACATAATGTCCGTATAGTGCTGAAAAGCTGTCATCCGTTATCTAAAGCCCTACAATAACACAGTTTGTTGTTGTCAAAAAGATTAACTTAAATTAAATGGTCTGTTTGATTTTATGGAGGAAAATTAATCGTTTAGGTTAATCGGTAAAATAGTCGCTAGATTAATCCATAGAAAAATAGTCGCTAGATTAATCCATAGAAAAATAGTTGCTAGTGGCAGCCCTACTGCAAATACACAAAGCGTAGGGTTGCCAAACTCTCACGAATCTGGCGTGACACTCATGGTTTCAGACTCTCACACAAGAAATCTTATGGCAAATCTATATTACTCCATTACCAAGCTAACATTAGATACAGCAAAAACGTTGGGGTAGTTTGCAAACCCTACAGACTATTTACAAGGTAATAAAACTGTTACATGTAAATGTGGGTGCACACTTGTGCAGATTTATCTCGAAGAATAAGAATAGCATAAGAATTTATACAGACTCCTGACTTTTGGACGTCACAATACGCATCTCATTAATATCTTATGCACACTACTAAACTGCTCACCAAATTGTGGGCGTAAGTAAATTGTACATAAAGTACCGAAAAGCCAGCATCCGGACAAATCTTTCACCCATCATCTAAAGCCCTGGTGATGATTGCGCATGTGCCATATAATCACAATTACATTGTGACATGATCGCAACAGCCCTATCGACATGGCATTTCATGCACATGCAAATGTCACATTGCAAGGACCATGATAATCTGGTGGGTTCAAACCATCAATAGGTTGCGCTAAAACACTTTACCTCAGTTATAGGAAACTTTGCAAGATTTGCAATTTTAATGATGGTTCCTTTTCAGCATTATCTAGTACAGTGGTTCCCAAAGTAGGGGTCGAGACCCTCTGGGGGGTCGTGAGACATTGAGGGGGGGTCGCAAGATGATTTCCAAGAAATCAAATATATTTTTTTAAACTATTAGAAATAACATTTTATCAACATTTTAACATTTTATATTGACATTTTATTCATAACTAACAAAAGATAAAAACTAGTAGTTAATAGTTACATTTAAAAAAAACATGCAAATTAAAAAGCCATCAGCCTTTCAAATATCTTTCCGTTTGATCGCGACCCCTGAGGTGATTACGACAGATTGATGTCACATCAATAGCGTCAGTTGCAGCAGAATTTACAGCACCATGTTAAACATTCCGACATGTGCACGTAACGTGTAGGTAATTTTCATCGCTTTATGCTTAGGATATTATTTTTGTTGAAATGAAACGAATGAGTAAATAACAATTTTAAAAAAGTTATATGGTTGTTAGAGCGTTGTGTTCTTTTGTGTTGTCCTGCTCATGTTTGGATAGGCCTATTGGCGCATGTGCACCGCTGCACGCAACATTTGTATATTTTAACCACTTCCGAGGATAGTGGGGGTCACGAGTCACTGGCACGGTTATTTTTGGGGTCGTAAGCTGAAAAGTTTGGGAACCCCTGATCTAGTATATGTTAAAACATCAGTCTAAAGTTTATCGCTGCTGATTTTGCATGAGCTCTGCATGTGGTCTTTGGGACCAAAATAATCATTCTTGTCCTTGCTGTTCAACTCGCTCATCAATTGTATGGTGGAGAAATGCAAACAAGACCTGTTCGCAAAAAGATATTTTTCTTCCACTATATGGAAATATTTTGTATTCCATAGAGACAATATTGAGCAAAAGCAAGTGATCTGTCAGCACTGCTTGTGCCTGTTGGCCCACATCATGGCAACACCAATAACTTATCTGACGGATTCTGTTAGTAGATAATAAGATACATTTGTCTAAATAGCTCATTTTCAACTGTAAATATCGCAATGTGAACCTTTTCCTGAATCGTCCAGCGCAAAACACACAACACACAGTTCGGTCACAAAAAAATTATTAACGTTATATGATTATACAGTATGTCAGATGAGGCGGCTAAACCTGGATGTCTTCTTTTAAGATACATTTGCGTTGCAGTCGTGTTGTGGTGATATTTAAGGATTGCCTTGCAATACTGACATCCGACTGCATTTTAATTTACTTTTAATGTTAAGTGATTCGACACGGATGATGCTTTCGCTTTATATTTGGACCCTCATCCGCTATGTCATTTGTCATTTTCCAGAGAAATCGAGTTTAATTGACTAATCCTGTCAGCTCTAATTATGACATACAATTAATACAGGTTTCATATGTATTGGGCTTGGGAATAACAACCTGCAATACTGAACTCCACTCATGCTTAGATTTGTAAGTGTTCATTGGTGCCTGAGCATACAATTATCAAAAAAGCTCTAACCCTAAGTTAACTACAATGGTTGGAGATACTCCAATATAGCACAACATCAGCATTCAAAAGCTAGTAGCATCCATCTAAAAAACAAAATATCACTAAGAGCATAATGTTCAAAAATGGGACATCGCAACACATAAAAGACTGAGAAAGATCTGCTACATTATCCATTTTACAAGCTTGAGCTCACGTCACAGCGCATGGCCTGGATTCAGCAGGGGACACTTGCAATCATCATAATTTTCACTGAACCCAGGCACGTAAATCACCTCGGGGAAAGACTTACATTTTCCTCCTGCTAAATCATTCCTGAGAATAAAAGAAATTCCCTTCACTGGCAATTGGGGTTCAGCTGCAAGTTTGACAAATTCTGAACACAGATACATGTCTGAAAGGGAAGTTTGATGACTTCTCTGCCTGAACAAGCACATTTGAACCAAAACTGGAGTGTTTAGAAAATGGATGAACACTCTCTGAAATGAAGAAATATGTTGTTTCAGTGTCTCTCAAGATACAGACAGGCCTTTGTTCATGGTTGGTGTCAGAAAATATGACACTAACACCATCCAAAACAAACAACCTCAAAAGTCAGCAGACAAGAGTGAGGGAGAGTACCGGCACAGGGCAAAGTGTTCAGATTAAATAAAACCTAGGGATACGGCTAAGCCATATTACATGTATGCTCCATATTATACATATTCTATTATCCTATTTTATATATATATACACACACACACACATCATTCTTGCTTATATTTTCAGAAAAACATAACTATACATTAATTTGTAAATATTTTAGGAGACTTTTCCAAACACTGCTCAGTGGCTTCTCAGGTTTTAAAGTAAGGACTAAGATTTATATAAAAAAGACTGTATATTTTTATATTTTAATGTTCCAGGACATCATGCACCAATATTTTATAAACAAAACTGTTTAGCATGCAAATTGATTATGAAGTTTCTAAAATTTGACTTAGAATTAATAAAGCACGTCCAATGTACCATTTTGCCATTTACTTGAAATCATCCATTACTTTCCTCTTGAAAAAAAATAAACTTGTTGATTGAGTGCGATTTGTATTAAGCATAAAAAAGCTGTTTTTATGCAAAATGTGCATGATATTACCATTTTATCATGCAAATTCAATTTCGGTAAGGGCTAGGATGGTTTAAAATTTAAAGCCTAAAGTAATGGATTTTAGAAATTACAAGTTTATAGAGCTGGAACGAGTCTTTCAAATTGATGATTTCAGAGCTAACCTTGAGCTGGCTTAGGTAAGGTCTCCAGGTCTTGTCCATCAGCTCCAGCCGGTAGTGCTTAGTGAAGTAGCCCAGGTAGGATACAAAGGCTGTAATCAGCAACACGTCCCCACAAAGCGTGCTCTCTTGGCGCTTGAAATTACTTACGGCCTCGGCCCAGCGGACATTCTCTGATGCAAGCCCACCCACCTGAGAGAAATAATCCGCATGCAGTTACACTGTTGTCATATAGCAGGTACTAAAATATATCCACAAGCTAAATGTTAGGAGCTAATGGACTTTTTTTTCTTAAAATGAAATTATTACTGGTACACATATATGGGTACAGGATGTATACAACATGGAAGCAAACAATAAATATGTCTAATGCTGATTTTGTGCCTGTCTAATAATTATAGCATGTTTTGCTTAAAATGTCAACTGTAGTTTTGGTGAAGAATCTCAGTCCTAAGGTGCATTTATCAACTTCTAGCTGAGTGTCGGCGGTTCATGCCAGGGATGCCCACCAGGCGGTTGGCAAGAGAAATGGTGTGCGCTGTGGACTCGGCCTCCTGTTGGCATTTCAGCTTGTCTGCAGTGGCTTTCTCAAACTTTGCTGTTAACTTTGCCAAGTTTTCATTAAGGTGCTAAGAGAAAACAGAGGTGAATAATAAGCTCTTCAAAAAGATAAGTGCTAAAGAAGCAAAAACCTTCAAACACGCTAAGATGCTCATTACATGGCGGCGATCAAACAGGCAAATTTCAAAAGAGAAATGCTTCCTGCCACTCCTTCCCTAAACTTAGAATCGTTGATCATTATCAGCGTTTTTTTTTTTGTTTTTGGGGACATACAATTACAATAAGAAAAGAGACAATTAATTGGGAAGGGTATTTATAATCCTTAAATTGTTTGAAAAAGCAGGCTAAACTAAGTGTGACTGGACCGTGATTTTATTGATTGATTGATTGATTGATTATTCTGGGATATTCCCATTGCCATCCCCATGGCCTATGCAATGACCATGATATCAGGTCAGGTTTATAAATGTGAAAGATTTTATTATGATTATTATTATTATTATTATTATTATTATGTATTTTAACACAGAATGACATCCTGCACATCTTGTGCTATTTTTGTTATTCACACTTGGGTTATACACCTGGGTGGGAATATCCTAAGAAGAAACCAAGTTTCACCATTTAAAATAATCTTTTTTAGAAAAACACCCCTTGGCCAGTCACAAGGGCCTTGCACATCACTCACAGAGATCTTGGCTTTAATGGTGGTGAGCTTCTCCTGAGCAGCTGCTAGCTCTGCGTTGGCTTTGCCCAGTGCTTGCCTCTTGGGTTCCACTTCACAATACACCTGGTAGAACTTAACTATGTTGATCACCCAGGAGCAGAGCCCTGCTGCTGAGTAGGACTTCGAGGCTACAAGTTCCGGGTTGAACTCAGGATCCTGGAGGTAGGGCTGGATAGCCTTCAGGCAGTTTTCATGGATGTTTTCCTTGTTGAAGTTGACCAGGGAGTCCAGAAAGCTGTCAACCTTAGCCATCATCACCTTGGCTGCCTTCCAGCTCCTGTCTTTAGGGATTCGACCACTAGGAGCCATCAAGACCATGACAGCAGCAGTCACGTTGGTGACAGCAGACACGGGGGAGCCAAAGGACTTTAACTCTGTCAGGTTGTTCTGATTTCATGCACAGAAAAAATAAATAAGAAGTATATAACAGGTAAAATACACGTGTAAGTACCAGAAGAATATTGACAAAATTCTAACAAGACTAATAACGATGCCAGCTGTGAGTGTCTTTGAAAGACAGGCGTGATGTGTCCATGAGATACAGAGCAGTAAAACCCCCCGGGGGTTTCATTAGTGTGAGGAACTTCTGAGAGTGATTGTGGGGAAATGTTCTTGTGCTTTTATCAAACAAACTTAATGACTGGGAAACAAATGGAGTGAAAACCTTTAGTGGTTAATATTTTCCCATTGTAAAGAAAATATCGATAACTGACCACCAAAAATGTAGCTCATTTAATGTTGTAAGGCAAAGAGATCACTATACCAAGAAGCTGAAACATGCAAGGGAAGAAAACAATCGATAGATCGATAGATATATACTGTAAAGTGCAGCATGACACTGTCATTCCAGAACTGAATGCTATAGTACTCCTCTATTGAAAATCTCTCATATTTTGATCCCTACAAACTCTGTGTAGTTCATCAGGAACTAATCTTAATCCAACTCTTGTAAGACACTCACACAAATTCTATTTATCATTTTCACAACAGGAGTTGTAATATATTCAAATCCTATCATTTTTCTCCAAATTGGCTGCTGATTAATTATACAATAGTGGCTGAGATATCTGAGTCCTTTGACACTTTTAATATATCCAAATGATCACAGGAGGTCTATTGGTTATGATTGTCATTAAGGATGAATCATTAAGACTGCAGATCATTTTCACTGTTTGTGACTTAAAAATGCAAAACTGAGGGAAAAACATTTTAATCATGATTTGAACTAACATGGCCAGCTGGGTAATGTCAGCCTGCTCTGACTCAAGAACCATAAAACCAAAAGTTATCAGTATTTCAGTTTCCAGGAAGTATGGTGGGGGTATTTTAAAAATCATTTTAGTCTTGCTTTCAAATAATATTGGGTGTAATACTAATATCAAAGTACATTACAGTATTGTATTTTTTACATAAAAGAATATATATTTGGCATTTGCTGTTTCAAAATTCACAGAATATTCTATTTATATACTTAAGTTTCCTGCATAGCAGAAAATTAAACCGCTATACATTCTAAACTGCAAGAAAATGTATCTAAAAGAAATATTACTAATGACTCTTATATATAGTATCTAGAATATATATTGCACCATAATAACTGTTTAAATATTTAGCTATATGTAATTCCTCATGCTCATGTCACTAAACAAAAGGCCTTCCAGGCAGTTGCATTGTCCTGTTAAACTGTTTTGAAATGTTTGCTTCCTGTTATAATAAGCTTTGGAAAGAGTGTGGTCACATGGGGCCAAAAAGATGAATCTGCCATTGGATTCTTTCCCAGTGTCTATTTTAAATAAATACTGTGACTACACAGCTTGTGGAAGACTAGACGCACAAAGCCAGCACCTGCTTCACGTGCCCACAAATGAATACAAATATGCAGTAACAGGACCACGGTGCCTCACCTTGTTCAGAGTGTTAAGGGCCTCCTGTGCAGCTATGAGAGCGGGTTCCGCTTTGGACAGATCTTCCTCACAGTCCTTTTGCTTCCCTTGGACCACAACAGCGATCTTTGCTACTTTCTCTTCTTCCTCATCAGCCACGGCCTTTTCCTTGCTCACCTTCTCTGTCTCCACCCCCACCACCTGGATCAACTTGTCTGCATCCTCATTCTTCTGCTTCAGTTCCACTTCCTGAGCAGCCAGCTTGGCTTTCAGGTCATCCACCTGTTACATATTTCAGTATCACATCGTTACTTCAGGTCATCCACCTGTTACACGTTTCAGCATCACGTTGTTACTTCAGGTCATCCTCCTGTTACACGTTTCAGTATCACGTCGTTACTTCAGGTCATCCACCTATTACCCGTTTCAGTATCACGTCGTTACTTCAGGTCATCCACCTATTACCCGTTTCAGTATCACGTCGTTACTTCAGGTCATCCACCTATTACACGTTTGAGTATCACGTTGTTACTTCAGGTCATCCACCTGTTACACGTTTCAGTATCACGTCATTACTTCAGGTCATCCACCTATTACATGTTTGAGTATCACGTTGTTACTTCAGGTCATCCACCTGTTACACGTTTCAGTATCACGTCATTACTTCAGGTCATCCACCTATTACACGTTTGAGTATCACGCTGTTACTTCAGGTCATCCACCAGTTACACGTTTCAGTATCACGTCGTTACTTCAGGTCATCTACCGGTTACACATTTCAGTATCATGTCGTTCCATCTTTACACAGTCATGCTCTGCATAACTACATTTTGGTCGACAACAGACCGCATATACGACAGTGGTCCCATTATACTGTAATGGCACTGAAAAATTCATGTCACCTAGTATCATCATAGCTGTCATAATGTTGTAGCCCAGTGCATTTCTCGTGTGTTTATGGTGATCAGTGTTGGGGGTAACGCGTTACAAGTAATGTGCGTTACGTAATAATATTACTTTTCTTAAGTAACAAGTAATATAACGCATTACTTTATAAATTTACACATCAATATTTGAGTTACTTTTTTAAAAAAGTAGCGCGAGTTACTTTTCTATTTTAATTAATTTGCTTAAAAAAATATTTAATTAAAACGAACGTAGTCACGTAGAATCACGCACTCAGTGCTGCTTTGAAAATGCATTCCGAGCTGACCACGCCCACCCTTCGGCAATCATTGCGTCAAGCCGGGGATTGGCGGAAGCGCGTTACGTTTAGATCGTTTGAAACATGGCGGCTGGAGATCTGATAAGATCGTTGAATTCATTGGCAGATTAAGTGGAGCGTGAACAGAGAAATAATGTTTTTGAACACATAGGCTGACTTGAATAATCTGATAAAAATTGAACTAAGGAATTCAGATCACTTGAGTAGTACAATTTCATTGTTCTCTAAAAAGTTATTAAACATTTTAAATGTTTAAGATCTGTCTTTTGCCCTAATATAACTTATTTCACAATGGCAATTATCTAGCCTATATTGCACTCTTTATTATCTCATTGGACAGTGAATTTACTTTATGTAGGCCATAGCCTACCAAAACAAAAATAAAAACTTAACAAACACATACATTTTCAACTTTCAATAATTAATGTTGGGATTTTTTTTAAATGGCATGCATAGCTCTGAAAGTTCTGAGAATATTATATAATTCTATATTATTATTCTATATATGTGTTTTTAAAAGAAAATGAAATAATAATTCTAAGGCCTGAACAACAAAAAGCTTTAGCCAGGTAAGAAATAAGTAACGCAAAAGTAACTCAAAAGTAATATAACACATTACTTTCCATAAAAAGTAACTAAGTAATGCAATTAGTTACTTTTTGGGGGGAGTAACTCAGTATTGTAATATATTACATTTAAAAGTAACTTTCCCCAACACTTATGGTGATGCTGGTCTAAACAAACCTACTGTGCTGCCAGTCATATAAAAGTACAGTATAGCACAAACATTTGCATACAATACATACTACTTGATAATGATAATAAACAACTATGTTACCGGTTTATTTATTTACTATAGTACACTTTATATGATTATGATTATTCAGGCTATACATATATGTTAGGTGTGTGGTAGGCTATACCATTTTGGTCTGGGTAAGTACACTGCATTATGTTGGCACAACAACAAAATTGCCTAACAATTTATTTCTGAGAACTAGGGATGTAACGATACACTCAACTCACGATTCGATACGATTCATGATTCTGAGCTCACGATACGATTTTCTCACGATTTTTTAACAGAATAAGCTGCAGACAAATTTATTCAAAAATATCCCTTTATTTATCTTTTTAAACTATGCAAAATGTGTCCTCTTCTTAATAGTGCAACTGAAATTGAATAAAATACCGTTTAAAATCCCAAATCAAAAAAAGTAAAAAAAAAAATTCAAATAAATAAACTAAGTCTTGCATGTGCAGCTTTTTAGCGTGGTTTGCCCTTTTAATAATCTTCGCTCTGGCACTGGTGAGTTGAGCTCACTGTGGTGCCGGTGGACATGCTGAAGCATTTTCGTTGTGCTATTTATGTATGTTATCAATCTTTTACAATGTTTGCATGCAGTTTTTGTCTTGTCTGTGCTTTTCTCGCCGTTTTCGTTTGTGATTACAGGAAAGCTAAAATGCTGCCACACCGCCAATTTAAGATCGGGTGGTGCATCCAGAAAATCCATTTTCTGAAACCGCTTAATCCCAACTGGGGTCGCGGGGGGGAGCCTATCCCGGGAACAATGGGCGTAGTCGCCAACACACCACAGGGCACACACTCTCACACAACTACAGGGCCAATTTAGACTCACCAGTCAACCTATCCTGCACGCTTTTGGACCGTGGGAGGAAACTGGAGCCCCAGTACCAAAACCAGGACCTTCTTGCTGTGAGGCAGAGGGCTAACCACTGCGCCACCGCGCTGCTCAGCAGTGTGTCCTCAACTTCAAATTCGCTCGCCATGTCGCGTTCGGTCAAAACCGAAAACTGACGTACGACATCGACTTGAATACGCAGTGACAGTTTTTCTGCTGAAGTACTGTGAAGTACTCCTAAAGTAGCGATTTATTTTCCACGTCAGCCTGTTTAAATCGTCATGCATTTACATCGATTTTTTACCGATTCGCAATTTATCGTTACATGCCTACTGAGAACGTATTCCTGTCGTTGAGCAATGCATGACTGTACATAAAGGTAGGAGGAGCTAATAATATATAGGGAAGCATGCTTCCGTGTTTGACTCTGCAGATTAGAATTTTGTGCCCATGATCTTAAGATTGCCATTTCAGTCCCATAGTTGGCTTGGAGCCATTAGTCGGTCTTATACCAACTGCTCCTGGATGAGGATACAGCACTGACCCGACATGCTCCCTTCATAATGACAATTAAGGTATTCTATGTACAGTATGCTTAAAATAACATAAGAACTACAAACAAGAATTAAGTTCAATAATTGAGATTAACTCTTTGTCTTTGAATGACAGCATAATAATAATAGTAATAATAATAATTTCCCCAATAATTTAAACATATATTAATTACAAAAAAAAACATGATTAGGCATTAACAGACTGAAACAAATTTTGGCATATAAAGGTACATGTTGAAAGGAGTTATACTGTATGTGAATTTCATGTATACTAGCATAAAGAAACAAGATATAACATTATTTGGAATACCTTGCATTAAAACCTTATGAATAAACCTTAAATAAGGTGCTTCACTAAAGTGATTTCTTCGTCTAACATTTATTTTTTGTCCCTTTCACTGCAATTGCCTATTTTCTATTGATCAGCCTGCCGAAACAGTACATCAGCCAGGAACACTTGATTCACCTTCTTTTAATGCTGAAAACTAACTGTAGCCATGCAGTTGCAGTAATCTCCCTGTATTAAGTGCATTCTCAGCAGATATCAACTGCTTAAGCAGTGCTTGCTGTCAATGTAATTAGTGCAGTTCTGTACTAGGTGAGTTCTGTGAATATGCAAAGTTTAACTGACTGGATAGCTGTCCCCTGTTATGTCACGATGTCACATATGGGTTAAATGCAGAGGACACATTTCATTGTTGTGCACTGTGCTGTGGTATGTCAGCACTGATCACTAAATTCTATTCTAATTTTTTAAAAGTGTGTGTTTTTGGACAATTTTTTGTGGAGGATTTGTCAGTAAAACCTCAACCAACTGAGCCACTCTAGAGTCCCCCCTCCCAGGGGTGCAGTAAAGGGGGTTAGGGGGAATTAGGATGACTTTAGAGCCCCTGAGTGACTGGGGCCCTAAAATATTTTGAACATAATTGGTTCAAAATATTTGAGGCACCAAAACCTACCCCCACACTTCCCTACAGACTATACTGTTTCATAATAACTATATTATAAGTGCAACTACTAACTGTCCTACTTATAAAATGTTGAAAAACATCCACTCATCTACCCATCACCATGTATTTGTAGACTTACAGTATTATCAAAGTATAAAGTAGTTCGCTCAAAACAAGGGTTGTGTATGAAAGTGGTGATGAGTTTTAAACACTATTTAGATGAACGCTTCTCTTAGATGGAAATTAAGGCAAAAGATGAGCACCGTATATAAAAATCAGAAAGTGTTTGAAAACCTCTAATAGCAGTGCAGTGCTAATAAAGCAGATATATACACACCAGCACCAGATATTTCCTGTTTGTATATGATCACATTAATCAAAAGTGGAGTTCCTCTGAGTTGTGGTAATTTCTTTTGGGTAACATAATAACACAATGCAATATCACATAATCAAATTGGTAACCTGAGGTCGATTTAACTAAGAGCCTCATAAGAACTGCATGCATGCAGTTATGACAACACCATGACAGCACATAAATGGAAATCATTTACAGGTGAAAAAGCTGTAATCCTCAAAGTAATATATACAAAAGTATATATGTAATGGCAACTTTTAATAGAAGCTATAAATCAGACAGATTACAAAATTATATTCCTGTATTTCCAGAGAAGAAAAAGTGGTTTGTCTAAATGCACCTCTGGGGTGGCATATACCTAAAGCTGAATGTTCTTTATTTCAGCTAATGTGGATTCTCATATATTAGCAGGCATACACTGGGATTTTGCCAGCATCTACATCTAGCACATAAAAAATAAACTGAGTAACTATGTATTGGCAAAAATCAGTATTAAATGACTTTCTAGTAATACTAACATCTACATGCATGTACAACAATGCATATTTAACCAACCTATATCCCTCCTACTTGCTTACACTTTAAGATAGTGTTCTGTTAGGGACTGTCGGCATGTACAAGTCTTTCCAACATGTCACACGACCACAATGCTGCTTCTGAAAGTGTCAGTGGCATTTTGTGGTCTTGCCATACAATAGATAGAGTAAAACTTATTACCTGAAATTCCCTGTAGACAACCTTAGCCTCAACCCCATTGACATCCTTTAACTAGCTGTCAAAACAACGCTTACGATCTTAACCTTATTTACCTCCCGCACAGTCTAGGTGTCATAACTATTTATGTCGACCTACATAACCATGCAACGACCAAACTATTTTCTCAGCAAAAATTAACCTTCATTACTTTTACACAGTTTAATTGTACTTCTAATTTATATGATAATCAGAAACCTGAAAGAACAAAAGTAAATAAATAAAAATAAAGTAGAAATAGAACTATACTGTAAAAATGCCAGCACATCTATATTTATATAAGCCTATGTCACATGCCCACTTCATTTATATTTCATTCCATCTACTACGACTGATGTAGCCTGACAATTTCAGCTGTAAAACAGCTTGTCATGCAATGTTTTGGCAGTAGAAACTCACGGGTTTGATTCACTAGGGTGGCACGCTCTGTCAGAAAGTCATATATACAGTCCTTGCTGTAAAATACTAATGTACTTTCCTCAACGAGAGAATGCTCTTGATTTTCTCCTCTATCAATCACCATTTCATTCACATTGATTTCTAATAATCTGGTGATGCCTGATATCTGACATCAAAATTGAGTGATCAAGTCCCTTTTTCAATTTTAAGGCACTCAGAGACATACCTAACAGGTCACTGAGTCCCCCCCCCCCCCCCCCCGTTTTACTAAGATATTAATTTTGCTCCGCAGTAATGCATTCGTTTCCCAAAGAGAAGATTTCTAAAATGGTAATTGAATCATTAGAAGTGGAAAATGGCTTTTGACAAAGTAAATTGAAAATTCCAATTTGCAAGTATATAAAAATTTGATTTCGGAGAACTGCTCATAATATTGTATGTGAATATCTCACCTATGGCCACAGTCATTACTAATGGAATAATGTCACGGAACTTTGCATTAATCAGGACCAGGCAAGGTTATAGTTCTCTATCCTCCCTCTTAACAAACGTCTTACTATTGCTACATAAAAATTATATGTGAAATAAATTATAAATGAAGTAAATAAATTCTATACTTCAGTACAATACATAAACAGGCTATAAACCGAATAAAACCCCACACTTGTCATTATTTAATACCTCCCTTATTAGGAAAACACATTGAAAAAATTACTGTATTAACTGCCATGATTTGGAAAAAAAAATTCTACAGTGTCAAATACACAATATCTTTACTGGATGAAAACATTAACAGGGTTTTATTGCTCCCACTACTAACATCTGGATACAATTACAGTATATACAAAGCCAATGGATTCAGTGCAAAGGGATTCACAGAATACAAATCAAGCTGTATGATATGCATACACAGGTAACTGTTCACACTATGTGTTGAATACCCCACATAACTATTTATACACCACCTGGCTCTGCCCACTCACTGAATATTTTTGGCAGCCAGTCATTGACATCACAGTCAAGTTCCTTCTTTCCATCTTTCCACCTCCTTCATTCTGTCTAGTTGGAGTCCATTCAGGAGTGAACCTTTAAACCCCAAGCACCAGAATTATGCTTAATAGCATTCTTAGAAAATATCATGCTGAATTTGAAACCTCATAACTGCGCAGTCGTTAGGCCTGCTGATGCAAGACCTATTTGTGAATTAAAATTCTTTATTTGCTGAATCAATGCCATTATATAAATATGCATTTTTATAGAATAGCCTAATAATTCCGATATTTGCTACACCATTGTCAATATTATTCCATCCATCCAACATGCAACCACTTGTCCTGGACAGGACTGTGACAGCATTTATTATTCATAAATTAGGGCAGCACAGCATGTCATACCTGCAGGTTTGAAATTAAGCCTCCACCTTTTGTGTATGGAGTTTGCATGCTTCTGTTGTGCTTCGCGGGTCCTCCAAAGGCTCCTGTTAAGCTTACACGTGTTTCTTCATTGCCCATAGAGTATGCTTGCGTGTGTGTGAATGAGTATGTATATTTGTGCTCTGCGACAGACAGGCATCCCAGCCAGGGTGTAGCCTAACTCCAGTGACCCTGACTAGGAAAACCAGTTAGGAGGTGGATAAATCAATTCATAAATGTTTTGTTTATTGTCGGATTCTATCTGTGTTTTCAGGATCTGTCATAAATGTTTGTGACAGTTCAATATGTGATTCACGGAAACTGGTGATTGAATTGTGCTTGACTCTGTGGGTAAATCTATGTGTATATAACTGCTCTACAGTATACTGGTATTTCTCCTAAGGGGTACTCTGATTTTTTTCCATCTGCATATATTATATACGTATATTGTAAACATAAAAATGGCACTACCTAACAAGCATGGTACTACTATAACCAGAGCTCAAAAATCATCCACAAAAGTCATACTAACACCTTGTCGCTGTGCCTCAGAAATACATCTCCGGCTGGGCGTACAGTAATTCTGTATAGTCCTATGAATTATCTAGCAGATGGTTCAATCCACCATGAGAGGACACACTCCCCCACCCTGAGTCATCTATACTCGAGAAGTCTTTGTATGCCTACAGCTAACTGACTACAGCTACAGACTAACTACAGCTACAACTGTATGTCGTCTGTAAATTTATAGGTTTATATTGTTTAAAGGTCATTAGGCATGTTAATCTGTGTTAGTAAGAGTTTTCATGGGTAGCCCGGTTTGCTCCTTACTCCAAAAACATGTGGTTAGGTGTATCGGTGTCTTTGAATTGGCCATAGTGAGCAACTACCCTCCAGTGGACTGGAATCCCATTGAGAGTTTCCACTGCCATTTGCTTTGGATTTCCTGGAATAGTTTCCTGGCTCACCAAGACTCTCTATTGGTAAGGAATGGGTTGCCTTTATAGAGTCAAGGTAACAAGTTGTACTTTTCCTAATATTAATTTCAAATTGTTCTATTCAAATTCATTTGTAAAAAAAAATCAAATATTATATTCTTATAATCTAATATACATATATTATAATAATATCTTAATTATCCAATGGTGAATTATTAGCATTATATTTGATTTAAATGTCACAAGGGATATTTAACTGCACCATATCAGATACAAGGTTCTAGAAATTAATTTTATTATGCTTCAATTAAATATGTCATTAGACAAAAATCAATAGACAAAACTTGAAGGGAATTAAGAACAATATTAATTCACTGCAGTATTAAAACAGTAAAATGATTGGAGTCGTAAGTCATGTCCCCCCCCAAAAACCCCCAGTTTTGCATAGTAATAAGCTCATCACAGTATGCACAGTCCTACTTGATGCCTTAGCAGAGAGACAAATATTTAAAGCTGTTTTTGTGATGGTGCTCCGGATATGACTCAGCTGACTCCTCCCCAAAAAAAGCAATCAGGTGTACTGACGCAGAGATTCAGCTGTGGTGCTTCCACATTCGGAACTTATTACTGAGATTTAAGTGTAGATAATAAACCTTAATGACACTCTGAGGCACAAAAGGCCGCTGACGTCAGCGTGGGGCCTTATGGGACCACTCTGTTAAGGCAAATCCCAGGCAGGATGGATTCCTCATAAGCACAGGATGTCGCCGTTAAATGAAGCCACAGTGATAATAAGAGGGTACGTAAAAGCACAGAAATAACCGCTGAAATGAAAACACAGCATGAATTTGGGCCAGATATAGAAATAAATATGCAACAATGACAGATGTAACCTGAAAACTAAAAATATTGTCACAGTACGATGAAAACTGCGTGCATCAACTTTTTGACAATTGTGACTTTACTACAGTTAGAATGCATCATTCTCCTCTGTCTACTGCGTTTGACATCTAATTTACCAATGAAAAGATGTTTTTTGAAGTAATCTATTTAGCTAGTATTTATGGTGGTACTACAGTAGTTTGGTGTCCAAACACCAGCAATTCTGGATCCCTATTATTTCTGTACTGATAACATTTGTATTCATGATAATCATTTGTATGGATGACTGTATTGATAATTTTAACTACTAGATAGCGGGTCAACTAACGTCATTGTTATGACAATGTATTGAGATTATCGAGGTTTGTGTCTTGTTAGCACTGACATTTTTACTTCTCTGACAACAATCCACATAAGTCCATTGAAAATATCAAACCATTCACTGAAGGCTGTGGAAAGATTTTTATTTGTGGTGCTAAGGGTGTCTCATTAGGTTGTTTTAGGTTTATTTTGTAAAGCAGATTCTGTGAAAATGCATTATTTCATGCTCATGAATTGATGTAATCTTGGAGATACGTGTTTCCATTGGACAATGATGATATAAGTAAACACAACTTGTGATCATAATGTGACACAAAAACAAGCAAAAGGGATGATTTCTGTACTGCAGAGACAAACACACATGACCTACCTGTGTGGAAGTGCTGTTCAGCTTTTGTAGACCATTCTCAAGTCTCTCCATCTTCGTGGCCAGGTCTTTGCTCTTCAGTGACAACAGGTTCTGGTAGAGCTTGATCTGCTCTAAGAAGGACTTTGGCGTGGTGTAATTATAGCGCCGCTCATTAGCAAGGTAGCTCCGAGAGGACTTGTTCACGCTAGTGTGAACATACGCCATGAACATACTGACAGACTCCTTTAATTCTGGCTAAATGTGGAGAAATGCATTAACACCATTAGCCACACATTATGCTTTATTGAATGCTTTATTTCTATTAAGATTATAGCACGTTCCTTCAATCACTTCTTCTAAATAGCAAGTTATGCTTTATAATTCACAAATTTGCTTCCCAACAAACCTGTATGTGCTCAATATCCTGGAGGAAGCGCAAGCTGACCGACTCCAAGGCTTCTTGCGGCCACTCATGGAACCAGTCGATGGCTGTGCAGTTGACCACAGCTGGGAACTTTCGGCTGCGAACACGAAGCTTGCTGCCCACTGGAGAGAAGCAGAGGGCCACCTACAGGGAGTTTGAGCAGTTTTCATGAATATGTAATCAACCACAAAGCAAGGCTTTTGAGAAATTATCATTCAAGTCTTATATACGAACACGTCAAGTGTTAAAACAATTATTTACAAGCGTCAGTGGCTGTAAATGATTCAACACTAATGAACAGTCTGCACCAGTTTTTCTTTTTAACCATTTAATAATTAAACTGAACCTTACAATTTGTATTACAAAGGCTATATATTTTTATATCATTTATAAGCTTTATAAGCTTCATCTTTAAACTAGGCATCTAAAAAGCAGTTTTTCAAAACAATTACAGCATCATTAAAATTAACATAATGTCACATTTTAGGCTTGAGAGGAGATATATGTATTCTCCTTTGTGATACAGCCATACACATAGAATAAATCATCAACTTTTTATAATTATATCTCAATATGCATTCAAGTAGAAATAATTAAATTATGTTTTTGTGAAAGAGAGGAATTGGAGCCAAAAGCATTCTGATTAATTGAAGCTATGACCTTTCATACTTCATGCTCCTTTTATTCGCTATTCAGTAATTGAGTTGGATCTATAAGCAAAACACTCAACTGTTTTTTCAACAGCGCAAGCACAGATGGAGATTATAGGGGAAAGCAGTCTAGATGAGAAAGAAAACACTTCCTCAAACAGAAGGTCACGAGAGTTAGGAGCAAGCTTCCTTTTAGCAATGTGGACACAGTCATCAGATTGATTCAAGTAAGAATCACTTAAATATCTATCAGCTCCAGTCATTAAATATCAAAATGAGCAAGACTGGCTGAAAAACCTCTCTTCATTTGAACATTATTTCAGGTCATAAACTAAAACTGAATGAACGATTGAATAAATGAATGAATGAATGAATGAATAAGAATATGGTTTGATGATATTATAAATTAAGTCAGATTACTGTTACAATACATTATATCCATTTTACCCACGAATGGAAGATTCAGTTTCATATAGCTCACTAGACTGAATGACATACATATGTATGCACACATGTACACACACACACACACACACACACACATACCTCCCATTCATTTGTATGGGAAAAAACCTAACCCCAATAATGGCACCCTTAACCCATACCGAGCCCTAACCTTAACCATAGGTAACGAAACACAATACAAGACTTTCGACATTTACACTTTTTTTGATTGCAATCACAGATTTTTATGGAATTGAGGTTATCGAAATGGCCACCTGAAAAATGTTCCCAAAAGTAAGAAAGTTTAAGGTGTCACCACACTTTTGGTACAGTTTGTTCCCCAAATGTGATCTATGCAACCCCCTCCCCCCTCCCCCCACCCCACACACACTCACACACACGCTCACTTCACCTTCAGCTGTCTGCGCACACGATCAATGAAGAACTTCCAGCAGTTCTCCCTGCTGTCGATCAGTCCCAGGCCTTTGACTTCATTCCTCAGGCTTCCTATGATATTTTCTACTTCATCATCGGGGAACATGTCAGGAATCTCACCTGTGGTGTATCATTGGTGTAAACACACATAGATACAAACACAGAAACACACATAGATACAAACACAGAAACACACATAGATACAAACACAGAAACAAACACAAAAAAAACAGGTTTTTGTCATATTGTGGGGAACATCTGGTGGGAGGGAGGGGTTGCATAGATCACATTTGGGGAACAAACTGTACAAATAGTGTGTGTATAAACAAATAGTGTGTGTGTGTGTGTGTGTGTGTGTGTGTTTATTTATTTTTATTGATGTCAGTATCTTATATCAATACCCAAGTAATGGACCTTTTAATCTGATGATTCATTGAGTAATCATTTATAACGATATCTATATTATCTAAAAAATAACATAATACTATATAATATGATATTATATCATATTATATAAATACTGCAATTGGCGCAAGGCAGGAACCAGCCATTGCAGGGTGCATATTTAATCACACATACAGTCAATTTAGGCACTATAGTCCATTTGTTGCATGTTCCTGGACAGTGGATGGAAACTGGAGAATCCGAGGAAAGTCATGCATGCACAGGGTGAACATGCAAATTCCACACACAAAGCAGTAGTGTGCTGCACCAGTGCTACCCACTGTGACAACGTTCTGCCCACAGTACAAGCCTTGCACATGCAATGGTCACATTGCCCACTACATGCAGCAGTCAGATGGGCTCAAACGGTGAATAAGTTGCGCTAAAACATTTTTTCATAACCAAAAATAACCAATCAAGTCTCTTCGCATTATTAATTTTTTGAATTCATTGTTAGATCTTTGTGGGGATCTGAATAATGATCCCCAGAACCTCAATTCAATTGAAGTCTAAGCTAACAACTGTACATTACATTTCATTTTTAGGAGCAGGTAAGCAAGGCAAAACTCAGGTACAACATATTTCCAGGACATGCTGACATTGGCATTCTGCACAGTACTCATGCAATTTACAGCACAGCTACTTCTCAAGGTTTGAAAAGCAGCAACCTCATTTAAAGCTTGGCAGTCTCTGTGCAATATATAATTTACATCTAGCACAAAACAGGTCTACATACAAATTAACACTACGCTCTATAACTAGATAAGGATCTCTGATTAAGAGAGAATACCCAAGGCCCCAAACTCCATCCCCTTTAAATAGTTCACTTATAAGTACATAACAGATCTTTGAGACATACTGCAAAATTGTGGTTCAGTCATATATATGTTTCAGGGGGGATTCCAGAAAGCGGGTTCAGAATTTAACATGAACTCCAAACTGAACGAGCCTGAAAGGACTTTAAACATGATAATCGGTTTCCAGAACCACTGATTACGATATCTGGGATTACGTTTATTCCAGTATTTCATACTCAAAGAAACGCAGGCTTGCAGAACAAGAAACAGCCATTATTAGCTGACCGCTGAAAAAAGAGTATTTGCCATGGAAATGGATGCCAAAAAGAGTACTGCTCCCTCCTTTCCACAGCTAGAAATGGAAATATTAATGTCTGTGTATCTTGAGTATGAATTTATTGTAAAGCAAAAGTAACACTGAAGCTGCAGCAGAGGAGAGAGAAAGATGCTGTGGCAAGAATGAACAACTAGTTTACACATAAGTAGATATAGAGATAAGTAATTTAAATGAATGAATATGTGGGAATGTATTTAATGTAGCTGCAATCCAGTTGGAACCAAAAGAACTATGCAGCAAGTTAGAATGATATAGGCCTATAAAACACAGCTCAATATGGTAGCAATATTACCCCATATTTGTAATCAATCCCAACATCAATCCTAACTTGACTTTAGCTAAAGGTTAAAACTCATTATGGATGGATGGAATCAGGTGTGTGTGTGTGTGTGTGTGAGGGGGGGGGGCTTTGAAGATGTTTGTCCCCTGGTACTTTTCACATAATCAATACTGACTTTTACATGTAATGATTGGCCTCTTCCCAGTGAGCAATGGCAGGATTGGCCTAGTGGATCTTCCTGCCACCATATAGTGTCATGCTATTATATGTGATTGACTGCTCATCAGATTTTGCCTGATAGTGCTGAATGCATTACATAAATTAAAGCACTTATTATAGGAAGGAAGTGAGGAGCCATATCAGACTATTCAGTGACAGGACATGCAAGGAGGACTCCAGAGATATAAGTTCATGCATGAGTATCTCACATGTCAGTAGGCCTATCTGATTATATGCACTTGCTGATTGTCCTCTAACAGATTTTGGCTGACCCATCTGAAGATGATGAGGATCCAATTACCTCAGCAACACAACTGAGCTCAGTATGAACTTATTCCTAATGTCCTGCGTATAAGTGAAAGTAGGATATTTACAGACTCGGCATTAAGGAAATGTTCTCTTCCGAGTTGCCTTTTAAGGAAATATACTTGCTCCGTGTGGAGAAGCAAAGAGTATTATCTCCAGATGAAGCATATTCATCTTTAAAAAAAATAGCTAAAAAAATTGTTTAGGAATTGAAGTGCTGTAATACCAATTTAAAGTGAATTTTGTGGTTGTGAAAAGTGGGAAGATTCTTAACTCATTTATAATGACCATCAAGTTTCTGTGTCATTTTTTATATGCAGGGAATGAAGAGCACATTAACAAAACAGTAGTGACTATGTATTCATTTAATTTATTGTGGCGGTTATGAGTGATTACTAAGAAAAATGGTTATTGATTAATGATTAATTAATGATTGCCTAATGCTCAGTCCGGTTAACACTTTTAACTTGGAATTCCGCACTAAACCAGTTTTGTAAAAAGAAAATTCCTAAGCACAGCTGTATATATTTAAAAAAGAAAAAACTTACCTGATGCCAAAAGATCATTGATCAAAACAAGGAATTTCTCATCTGCTACTTGTGCATCAGTCATCAAAAACACTGTGCCGACATTCTTTACTCCAGTTTTAATGTACAGTGCAGCTAAGTCATTCTGGAAATAAGCATTCCAATAAACATAAAATTCAGTATTATGAGCTGATTAATGTACTTAACGTCATGCAACAATGGTGTAGTGTAGTGTTTCCCAACCCAGTCCTCTGGGAACCCCGAACAGTCCACGTTTTTGCTCCCTCCCAGCTCCCAGCCAATCAGGAACACCGAATACCTGGTACAGGTGCACTGGGGGCTGAGAGGAAGCAAAAACGTGGACTGGCCGGCGTTCCCTGAGGACTGGGTTGGGAAACACTGGTGTAGTGTACTGCCATATCTGTATATCTGTTACTAAGGACGCCTACCTTTCCAGTGTAATTACTGTGTAAGTACAGTGTAAGTGCCAGACAACATTATTATTGTTATTATTATTATTATCATTATTATCTAATGTTGTGTGGTGCTTCTGTAATTAACAACAACAACAAATTGATAAATATCAAAAATAACTATAAGTATGTAACATTCTAAAGAGCACAATCTTTTAAGGATTAATGGAATAATCTGAAATTTTAAAAGTTAAAGACCTACCTTGAGATCAGAGATGCTATAGCCTTTCTTGAGAGAAATTTGAAATACTTCCAAGGAACTTATGAAGGCCGCAAGCCTTGTAAGACTCTGCTTACCGCTGCCACCAACTCCTACCAGGAGTGCATTTCCTCTTGGAGACTCTAAGATTCGGTTGATGCGGCAGCTTCATGAGTAAGTAAGAAAATGACAGAGAACAAGAAAACATGATCAGTTAGATTGTGCCAATAAAAGGAGTGGCTTCCTAGGGTTAATCGCTACCTACAGTAGTCTTCATCACCATGTAACGGCTTAAGCACAATTCTGGATTTAATAAGAACACAGACATTGGTCTTACATGTGTGACATGGCATCCTCAAAGAGGACCAGATTCATTGTGGCATTGACTTCATTGTAGCTATCCAAAGCCTCAAGAAGTGTCTTGTTGAGGATTCCCCATGACTGAACTGGCATATATTTGGGTTCCCCAGTACCAGAGGCAAAGTGGAAGAAAACGTTCATGGCCTTGATTTCTTCAAGTGTCTCCTCCGTGTCCTAAAGGAGAATGACTTCAGAATGAACATGCAGTGGAAACTAATTTCAAATTTACTGGGAAATGCTACAATATGCTCATTCAAGGAACCATCTACAACAAACAAACAAACAAACAACAACACCCGCAACAACAACAAGCTTCAGTATAAACTTCATTTAAGCTTCAGAGTTAAACGTCACTTATGCCAGTGTGGATATAGTTGTGGATGATCCATGACAGTACAAGGCTGCACAGACGGGATGGCAGCATCAGTCTTTTCACAAAAACTGAGAGAGGAATGATATTTATAAAGCCATTAAAATATCTTCCAATTTGCAGGGCTAATATCATGGTCCTGACAGGTGTACTCTGATTACCACTCTTTCCTTCAGCCATATTGGTAGGTAAATTCCCCCGCAAGGAAGAATTCCTTTAATTTAATGAGTTATATGACTATAAAGGACGGAGAGTATGTGTGTTCTCTTTGTCTGATGTTGTAGAAGTCTCACCTCATAAAACTTTTTCACAGAGTCAAACAGCAACTTATCAAAGGTTCCGAAATCCTTCTCTTCCACCATTTTATCTCTGTAGACTCTGTTAGATTCATGCATATAAATCTTCACTAAGTCCTGAGGAGTCTTCAGATACTCACTTGATGAGAAGAGAATGCCCTAGGAAAGAACATACACTTACTAACATGTTTTAGTCAATTAAAACATCCATCAATCCATCCATCCTGCTTCCCAACGCTTATCCTTGTCTGAGTCGCAGGAGGTCCAGAGCCTATGCCAGGCACCATAGGGCACGAAGTCCATTGCAGGGAAGTTAATTAACACAGTCCTTCTTAAATCTAGTATATGTTGTAATTAGGGCTGTCACGATCATGAAATTTTAACTGACGATTATTTGTCATAAAAATAATTGCGATTTAATTGTCTTTTTCCTGTTCTTTGTATAAAGTGAACATATTCATAGTTTAATAATACGTATACACCTTATGAAGAAACCCTGTTTATTCACTTTGAACCTTATATATAACATATAAAAAGGCAGAAACAGACAGTAACCAGTAATAATTACCAAACCTACAGTATCATGACAATACAACAGTCAATATCCTTTTCACACATAACCGATCATGCTCATTACTGGCTAGGCAGATTCCGATTTCTTTTAAATCCTAGAGAACCTCATCCTTTAGTTGGTTGTATAAATTGGGGATTGCAGTTTTGGACACGTAAGTTTCGCCTGGTAATTCATATTGCTTGTCAAAGTTTTGCCTTGTTTCTATTGATCGCGCGACAATGCGTCACAGCGCGCAGTGATCAATGTTCAACAAAATTCAACTTTGACCGCGGTGCTCGCACAAGCTCCGTGAGCGGCGCGCGGTACCGCTCTGGCGCTGCGCTTGCGCTTTGCTCGGCGCAGCGCGAAACCGTCCTTGCGCCGCGCAAGCCTTAGGAAATAATGGATTTCAGAGCAAAGCGCAGCGCATGCCACGTTCGGTCTGAAACCCGCTTTACTCTGCTAGAGCGGGACGGTGCGCGGCTAAACAATAGCAGCGTACGGAAAAGACGTCATTAATCAAACCAATCAAACGGGAGTAACCGAATGAGAAAAAGAAGATACAAGCACAAATCCAAAACTGTACTGCAAAGACTATTAAATAGTGAGTAAAAACATTTCAATTTATAGGTATATAACGATTATGACAATTATCCAAAAAATGATCGCGGTCAGCTCAAACTATCGCGATCAGGCAATTAATTGATTATTGCGACAGGTCTAGTTGTAATTGTGATTGTGAGAGCTATATATATTGCCACTGCATGAACTGCTAACATTACATAGGCATAACAACAGATTAAAGGTCGGAATACATCATTAACATATAATTTTTGGGGTACTATAGAGCTATGATAGAGTTACTTCATTTTCCAAGCAACAATAAATAATTGCATCACATGCATTTATTTAATAATCATCCTCTTCAACCGTATAATAGGGCTGCACGATATACTGTATTGTTTCAGCATCATCACCGTGAAGTGTGCATGTGCAATAAATCACATCGAATTTGTCAGCACTGTTTTGTGTCTACTATCACAACTCGTAGCAACACCACTAACTTATCTGACAGACTCTACTATTAGATAACAAGAAGTTATATTTGGCTACAGTTTATTTCGGGTAATTCCATCTGCTTATACTCATGAAAATTCCACATATCGCGATGTGTTACTGTTCAGCCCGACTCTATAGCACACTCTCATACAATACTCTAATCTGTGTCTGTGGCAATGCAGTGTGTATAATATCGTAAGGTGCAATATTTACTAGATGGTACCATATGGTGCTATAAATAGATTCAAATCTATTCCCATATATCCCTATCATGCTGCTATATTGTATTTAGTTTTATGACTTTATTGTGTATTGTTGCTGTGACTGTTTGTTGAGTTTACACCAATCAGGAGTAGCACTTTTTAAATTTCACTGTATGTTATGCAGTGACAATGTGTAAAAGCTATCCTATTCTACCCTATTGGAAAAATCAGACAACTCACAGGCTTTGACTGGAAATGCTACACATTGTAATAAAATTATTGCACTTCCTACAAATTGAAAGACGACGTAACAAAGACATAAATTATGCATAATAATATAATCGTAATAATCTTTAACATCATAAATAAATTATACATTTCAAATAATTGAGCATTAACTAAGAGAGATAAATCCCAAAGACCTTGAAGACTTTTAATTTGAACCATCCATCCATCTTCCAAGCACATATTTTGGACAGGGTCAAAGGAAGATCCATCTCAGACAGTAAGGGGGACAAGGCAAGAGCACACAGTGGCAGGCAGATATACACACAATCCTCGGGTAGTTAAGAAACGTCAATTAAGCTAATGTCTTTGGAGTGTGCGGGAAAACCTGCATGCCCCAAGGAGGACAAACAAAGTCCACAAACACAGAGAGATGACAGAATTCAAACCCCCAACCAACAAGGAATGAGGCAACAAATTACCCACTGAGCAACTGTATTATCCTAATCTGAAACAGTGATACAAGAAATAGAGAATCAAACAAACCACTATCAACACATAAAGGATGAATGGTAATTCATTCATATAATTCAGAACTGCAGCCAATTGCTTCACTACTATAGACCATATCTATTACTATTAATGGCAGCAATAATCATCTATCCATGCGTTATAAATAAAATATTTATCCTGTACAAGGTGACAGTGAGCCTGAGACTCATGTCTGGAAACACAGGGCACAAGGGATGCCAGTCCACAGCAGGGCACACACAGCTTAGAGAAAGTGAAAATGCTTCTGGGCTGTGGAAGAAAAGCCACACATAAAAGGGGAGAACATGCAAACTCCACAAATAGACAGTAGATTTTAGCCTACAGCCATGTAGATGTAAAGCCACAAAGCCACTGACTGACCCATAATGCCACCCCTTAAAATGTTGTTGCCAAGTTCTCTACACAGGAAGATAAATATGGTGCAGATCCTTTAGGTATTGACAAGTAAAAAGACTGTAGAGTCAATTCCAGACCACGGGGATTCAATGTGGCCTTCAGTTGGTGTAATTTGGACCTTGTGTCTGGTAGCACTGTTTGTTTTCCAATACTTTTTAATGACTTATATCTGAATCACGTTTCTCATGAAGCCTCTCACAGGCTTCTAATGATGCCTCACATTACAATGATGGCAACACTGAAATATTGAAGGCATTCGAGCAGCTGGACCATGATGCAAGTTAAAAATACAATAGTGCAAATAAAAATGCAATATGTGACATGTACTTAAGATGTATGGACAATGAATTATATTACAATTATTCTGTAATGCTTTCTGGTGGGATATTGCAGAGGAAACACAGAAATGTGGTTCTGTTGCTCGTGACTGGAAATTCTTCATGACCCTTATAGTCAAGGGACATGCTTAAAGGATAACAGTCCCAAAGCATTTAAAACATCACTGTCCTGCAGAGTACTATGGCAACAACATAATCAGCATCTCCATGCCAACAATTCTTTATTGCTAACAATACAGTCCCTAGCTGTTTTTCCCTGCAAGAATCACTGGTAATATGGACAGATCTATCTTTTAAGCATCACAATGAGAACAGCATACTAGCACAACTGCTCTGAGGGATTGAGAAAGAGAGCCAGGTGTCAAAGAGATGAGACCTGAATGAAAAGTCTGCCCATACCCCCATTAACAGGAAGAACAGGCCCATGGTGCTTCATTAACCCAGGAATGCCGTAATAGGCAATCATATAGCATGTCTGATCATTTCAAATGCTGCTGCAATTACACCCATCAGTAGGGGATTACATTAATTACAACTGGATGGCACTTGTCCTGTCACATCTGAGCTGTCATGTTCCATTGTAGACCTCATCTTTTCAAGAGACAAGGGTGCACAAAACCCTACCCAGTTCTTTCTAACAAATAAATAATCTGTCCAAAGTCTTGAAAACAGACAGCGGCGTGAACTTACAATTACATGAAACCGAAATACAATTTACCCACTGAGCTATATACAGTATGGTCATTCACAATATATTACAATCAAAGAGCTGTGATGCCTTTATCCAAAAGTTTAAAAAAGTATGCTTGTAATAATAATAATAATAATAATAATAATTAATGATACCAACAATAATACTAATAATTAATTATGATAATAATAATAATCATCATCATGATAATAATAATTATTATTATTATTAGAGTTTGGAGGGAAAATATCCTTAAGAACTTTTCAAGTCGTTTTTTGTTCAAATTATTTATCAGTGTGCCTTCACAATGATTTAATGTCCATGTTATATAAATGAACAGTTATTTATTTGGTCCTCTCCAGGCTCTTACCGTTATACATTATTAATTTTCTAATCAATCTGACAGCAACACGGCCTTCACTGCAGAGGTGACGAATAAATAATTATGCAAAGGCTTCATTTAGCAATTTAATAACAAAAAAAACCTTATTACAAAATGAACATTTACGAAGCAATCCATCTATGAAGGAAGCCTGCGGTTGATGTCTGACTTAAGCAGGATCAGGATGCCATTCGCTCTGGAGTCAAACCAAAAATACTGCAAATAATAAAACCTAACATATACAACAGAAGTAGACAATCAGCTGCCAAAATTATTCTATATAAATTTAGTTTTACTATCTAACATATAATAGGCCTCTTAATAAACATCTCTTATATGCCTGAAACATACTTTTCACTAGAAGAACATTTAGGAAATAAATCCTACAGAAATTAAGCATGTGGTAACTAATTATTTTTGAATATTTTCTGAACAATGACCCCAATGTAACCACTAAAGTTCACTACTCAAAAAAAACAAACATGAATTTGCAATAAAAAGTAAAAATTGTGAACTCAAAAAATATTTCTATATATCAAATGTTCCATATTTACAGCCTTCAAAATGCTAAATCAATGAAATGCATTCTCCAAGACCATTAATGGTGTCCCTGAGAAAAACAGCCAGTACCACTACTCAAATGCTAGGAAAATCAGGTCATTACTATCCTGTGTACTAATGGAAACTAACAGCGTAAGCAACAATATATCTGAGGCTAAGTTCCCTCTCAGAGGTCTAAACCCGTCATTGACGCATTGCA